TATTTTATTTTATTTTTTAAAAAAAAATTTAATAAGAAAAATAAAAAAAATTTAATGCTATCATGGATAAATGACAGGCGAGTAAAAGCATATTGGTCCTGAGAGCCCTTTCCCGGGGCCAAGCTCTCCAAGGCTGCCAGAGTGAACCGCACTGCTTGGCCTGGACTCCTTCTGCAGGGGAAGAGGGGGCCAAGCACTGGTCTTGGGGTGGCCCCAGCCCCCACCACGGCCTCTCTGGTCCGTGCTTCATCCCCGCTGGCCCCAGCTTGCCTAGAGGAGCACCACCACCAGCACCGCTTGTCATAACTCGGTGATCTCCAGCGGGCTCTCCATGATCACCTCCCGCATCTTGTGCAGAGGGGTGGACTTGGCCGACTCGGTGCGGGCGTTGTGGTCGCTGTAGCTCCCACAGTCGGCGGTCAGAGTGTCCAGTGAGCGACCCAACACCTTCTGGTCATCCTCGGGCAGGCTGTTGAGGTCGGAGGCGAGCAGCGTGCCCGTGCTGCCGTGCACCACGTGGATGCCATCGGGACCCTTCAGTTCCACCGGCTGCTTGTGTCGGAAGCGGAGGCTGCCCTGGCTAGGGCTGTCCTCCTCCTCCTCCAGCTCCTTCTGGATCAGCTGCAATAGGTCCATGGATTGGAGAATCACCACCGAGGCCAGAGCAGATCGTGGCTTCCCCATCTCCAAAGCTCCTGCAATGCCGGAGCCCAGCAAGAGGGATGGGACCCTTCTCTTCTAAAGCAGCCTCAGAGAGTGGTGATGAGGATCACCAGCGTGATGATGATCTCCAGCCAGATTGCTCACTCATCAGGTGAGCACCCCCCCAGCTCAGGCACTGGCTGACATCTGGATGGTAGGTCTAGCAGCAGCCCCCACAGTGGCCAAGGTGAGATATCGGACCCGGGCTGGGATTTGGGGTTATATGAGGGTGGTGGAGCAGAAGACAGACAAGGAAAGGAGTTGCGGGAAGGATGGATGGGGCTAGAGGGGGGATAAGGGTGAAGAGGGATGGCAGCAGAAGGGTTGAAAGATGTCTTCCATCCCCCTGCTCTGCTCCACTTTTTTTGCCCCATATTTTGCTCCCCATTTTGCCCCCCATGAAGAGGGGGAAGACAGAAGGAGCAGCTGCTTCTCCTCATACCAGCCCTCCTGTACCAAAGCCCTCTGTCCCAGCCTTTTTGCCTCAAAAACCTGCTGGGTTGATAAGCTGAGAGGAGCGGAGGAGAGGGAAGATGTCTTCATGTGTGCAGGGACCTCCAGCTTCTTGACCAGCCTCAGCAGAGAGATGGGGAAGTGGTGGGCAGAGCCCACCTCACACAGAGAGGGGTCCTCCCCTGGGGTGGGAGAGACCAAGGGAGAGGGTGCTGCTGATACTCAGAGGAAACACAGGGAGGTCACAAGATCTGGGGCACTGTGGGGAAGCAGCAGCCTCAGTGGCAAACCAGCATCTGGCTCATTTTGGCCAAGCAGAGAATGGGGAAACAACTGAATGAGGGGGACCGTGGCCACGGGTTGGGAAGACACACTGCATCCCAGAGGGCACGGCAAGCATCTCCTCACACCCATGCACACCCCGTCTACCTCTGAGACCGAGGAGCGGTCCCCCTGACTGGCAGTGGCCTTATGCACCATCCTCTGGGCAAAGAGTTTTTTCAAGCGCATGTAATCATCCAGGACCACCTTCAAGAGAGAGCCCTGGGCGGAGGGGAAGAGATGGTGGGTTACCCAAGGGACACAGTTTAGTCTGAGGCAGGCTGGCCGCATCCCAGCATTTTTTGGAGTAACGTCACCCTCCGGCACGGCAGCTGTGAACCTGGAAGCTGTAGCAGTAGAAGACCCCCTTGGTGGAGGATGCTCACTCTCATCACTCACCTTGATGGGTCCCTCCCGCATGATCTGCCCCAGCTTGGCAATGTTGTCATACTCCTGGATGGCTGCCCGCAGGTAGCGGTCATCCTCAGGCTTGGCTGCAGATGGTTCTCTGCCAAAGGTCCCCTGTGGGAGGAAAGAGCAGCTGAGGAGGTGGAATGGGCATCAGGGATGGGGAGGAGGTGTTGGGGATTCTGTCTCACGTGGGTGCGGGCAGGACTGTTCCACAGGTCGGTGATCTCGCTCAGGTTCTCTGGCAGATCATCCTCGTGCTCTGCCTGTGCTGCCAGCTCCATGTTCCTGCAGAAGGGGTCCAGCCACACCGGGTTGGCCCTGCCCGAGGGAGAGGAGCAGTATAGAATCATACAAAAGTTTGGGTCAGAAGGGTCCTTTAAAGGTCATCTAGTCCAACCCCCCCTGCACTGGCAGGGACAACTTCAACCAGAGCAGGTTGCTCAGAGCCTTGGACAACCTGACCTGGAACGTTTCCAGGGATGGGGCTTCTACCACTGGGAGCTGAAAGCACAAAACAAGTGAAAATTGCAAAGGTCAACACTGCTGACTAACACCCTGTGACAGAGCAGACACAGAGGCTGGGTGAAGATCCAGTGGTCTGTGTTCTCATGGCACTGAGGAGGAGCTGTGGAATGCAGCGAAGGCTGTTCATCCCATTTTACCACCTATCTCATGGCAGCTATCTACTCCTTGAAGAAGAGACCAAGGAAGCTTTGTGCTCGTGGAACAAAGGTTTGACCACAGTCCCACCCCCACACCTCGTACAGTAGTCATGAACAAGTAATAAATATCATCCCTTGCAGGGCCTAACTTGTGGGATGAGACTTCGGCACCAATTTGTAGGGACAGGCTGATGCATTTATCACTGGCAATCTTAAATACTCTGCATATGTTGTGTGGGAATTATCCATGCTATTTGTGCACCCAGCTGATGTTTTTGAATATGAACAGACCTACAGCAAAAGGCTGCTTGTGCATCTGGTGTCAGACCTATAGTCAAGGCTCTCATTGAACCTATTAAGAGAGAAGTTCAGCAGCCCCTTGTCCCTCTCGACTCTGAGGACCAGCTAGAAAGGAGGAGGATTTGTCTCTTACCAAATTTATTTCCTTCCAAATTTATCCCTTACCCAAATTTATCCTTTCCCTTCATGCAACACTGCCTCTCTGGGCAACCTGGGCCAGTGTCTCACCACTCTCACTGTAAAAAATATCTTTCTTCTCTCTAGTCTAAATGTCCCCTCTTTTACATTAAAACCATCAACCCTTGTCCTATCACAACAGGCTGCAATAAAAAGATTGTCCCCATATTTCTTATAGGCCCCAGAGTTGGGCTGACCAAGCCCAACTCTCTCCTGCTGGCCTCCCAGCAGAGGGGTTCCACCCTTGGGTCACTGCTGGGGCTCCTCTGGCCCTGCTCCAGCAGGTCCCTGTCTCTGCTGTGCTGAGGACTCCAGAGCTGCCCCAGCACTGCAGGGGGGTGACCTCAGAGTGGAGCAGAGGGGCAGGATCAACACTCACCTGTCATCTCTTTTTACGCCAAGCTTGGCCACTATTGGCTGAGACAAAGGAGAAGGCACAAGGTCTTTTGGCTTTGGAAGCTCTCAAGGCAAGCACAAGGGTCATAGCTATGCTCCACATGGCTTTCCTAGCTGTATCCCTCCACAGAGCAGAGGCATCGTGTCTCCACCTCCCATGCGTCCCTGGCTACAAAGATGTGAAGAGGCAAACTGAGGAGGGGATGGGAGGGGAGAACTCACCCATCGAAGGAGTACTTGTTGGTGTTTGGCATGTCCATGATGTCCATGAAGCCCCTGTTTCCTGAAAAAGGCAGGGGTGGGTGTTATAGGGCAGCTGAGAAGCAAACAATGAGGTGGCACTTTATTGGGGATGGAAACCCAGCGACCACAAAGGCATCAGTAGCATGAGGAACACGCTGGGATGGAGCCTGGGTGCTGAGAAAAGCCTCCCACCATCACGCTTCACTGGGCTGGACCAATTCTGATTTACACAACGCTGACATCCCCCGCGTCTCCCCGTGCACCCTCTCCACCTTCTTCATCACCCCGAAAACCCCCACCACTGCTCACCGGTGGAGCCAGCAACTATGGCTTTCAATTTCCTTTTGTGCCTGCAAAAAAATAGAGTGAATCAGGGAAGAAAGCAAGGAAGATGTTGGAAAGAAAAGGGGGTCAGAGATTTGGAATAGCTCTGCAAACAGCACCTGTCCCTCTGGTGGTGGTGAGCTCGACTGGGAGAGGTGATATCATTAAATATAATATTAAAACCATTATATATTTTGGGTCACAACAGCCCCCTGCAATGCTCCAGGCTAGGGGAAGAGTGGCTGGAAACTGCCTGGTGGAAGAAGACCTGGGGGTGCTGGCCAACAGCCAACTGAAGATGAGCCAGTGTGTGCCCAGGTGCCCAAAAAGGCCACCAGCAGCCTGGCTTGGATCAGAAATAGTGTGGCCAGCAAGCCTGGCAGAACTAGGACAGGGATCATCCCCCTGGACTTGGCACTGGGGAGGTCACCCCTGTAATCCTGGGCTCAGTTTTGGGGCCCTTACTCCCAAGAAGGACCTTGAGGGGCTGGAGCATGTCTGGAGAAGGGCAACGAAGCTGGTGAAGGGTCTTGTGAGGAGTGACTGAGGGACCTGGGGGTGTTAAGCCTGTAGAAAAGGAAGCTCAGGGGAGACCTTATCACTCTCTACAGCTCCCTGACAGGAGGCTGGAGCCAGGTGGGGGTTGGTCTCTTCTCACAAGGAACAAGCAACAGGGCAAGAGGAAATAGCCTCAAGCTGCACCAGGTTTAGGTTCAGCATAAGAAGTGTCTTCCCCAAAACAGTTTCAAAGCCGTGGAGATGTGATGCTGAGGGATGTGGTTTAGTGGTGACCTGGCAGTGCTGGGTTAACAGTTGGACATGATGATCTTAAAGGTCTCTTCCAACAGAAGCGGTTCTATGGTATTTTGGGGAAAGAGGGGCAGTTTCTGAACCGAGGCTGAGCTCCTCTGCAGAAGGTGTTGTGATGCTGATGTCCTCCTTTGCTTGCTGGTACTGTCATGCAGGGTCCCCCTGGCCCATGGGGACACTGTGACTGGCAGGGCAGAGCCTGAGTGTTACTCACACTGTCCGGTAGTACCAGTTCATAAGGATGAAGAGCATGGCAGCCAGGAAGAGCAGGACAGCCAGCACGATGATTGCCATCTGGGAGAGACAGAAGGGTAGTGGCAACCCTCAGCAGGGACCCAGAACCCAGTGGTGGGCACCTACCTGAATTTATTTGGGTGAAATATCTCTCTAGGCCATGGAGGGCCATGGAGGATCTTCACTTGCAAGAAGCACCCACCACTAGCCCTAGCTGGGCTGTTACCTGCAGAGCTGAGAGGTCATCTGGGGCCCGGGTGGTGATGGCAGGCTGTACATCCAGCACGTTGTAGTTCCTGAAGAGGTTCCTCAGCTGCTCCTTATTCTCGTCTATCATCTGAATCACCCTGGGAAGAGAAGGGTTGCTTGGGCATCTTGATATTAATGAGGGTCCCTGAGGACTCAGTGGGCCAGGGGATGGGCCAGGTGACGTACCGCTCCACATCCAGGATGCGGTTGGTCTCTTTGTTCACCACATGGATCAGCAGCTCTGTCTGTGCGAAGTTCACCCGACCTTTCTTGTCAACATGGAACTAGGCAGAGACAGCAAGGTCTGCAGTGCAGGAGAGGTGTTTCCTCCTGGAGCATGTCCTGAGGTGTGCTTGCATGGCAAAAGACCCTCAAGCCTGGCATGGGGTAGGTCTAGACCCCTTTGATACACATCAGACTGAGGTGTATCTGTCACCTTCAGAGCTCAGGGTACTCAGAGAGAGTAGCCTGAAATGAGACCTCCCAAGTAGCACGTGGACGGTTACCTACCCCTTGAAGCAACCTCAAAGGTGGATGGTTACCTGCACGTCATCCGTGTTGACGATGGCGCCTGTGATGTTCGAGAGCAGGCTGATGAACTCCTCCTCAAACTGCCTGACTTTGTCAGGTATCTCATTGATGATGATTTTGACTCGCTGATCATCCCGCAGAATGTAAATCCCCACAATAGCTGTGTCGTTGTGGCCCACCAGGTCAGAGGCCATGATGTCCACCACAAAGTAGCCTGGGTTGTAGGCCGTGAAGAGGTCAAAGGTTCGCAGGATGCCATCAAGGGTTCCTGGAGGAAGGAACTCTTGTCACAGGCCCAGGATTACTGACCCTGGCCATGGAGACATCTTTGGGCATAGAAACATCTCTGACCATGGCCTCATGCTCTTGTGGCATGCTCAGTACACACCAATGCTAAAGATGTTGGCCACCTCCTCAGAGTCGTTGGAGTGCTGCTTGATGTAGCGGATGCCCAAGATATTGTACAGGACCAGGCTGTTATTGCCCACATCGGCGTCCACTGCAACCACTCTGATCAGCTCAGACCCCACCTTGGCGTCCGTGGCAACCCCTTTGGGAGAGAGATGGGACAGGGACCTGCAGTGGGCTCTCACTGCCCCTTCGCCTGGCTGGATTTTCCCCAGAGTATCTGTGGCTCTTGGTGCCCCTCACCAGCCCCCGGCACCCCTTACCCGCTGTATACTCTGACTTGGTGAACTGGGGGGACTGGTCATTGATGTCATCCAGGAATATCCGCACTTCCTGAAGGGTCAGGTCTCCAATGAGGTCCCAGGACTGGGCTCTGCCTGCCCGCTGGCCCCGGGGAGGGGACCAGTTCCTCTGGCTGGACGCTTTGACTATGATGGAGTAGTAGGGCTCCTTCTCCCGGTCCAGGTCTCGCAAGACCTGCAGCTTCCCCTCTCGGCTCAGCTGGAAGTTGCTCTCCTGGTTCCCAGCTGAGTGCAGAAAGAGGTCCCAAGTTAGCCCACTTTGTGCTTGGCATTTCTGAAATGCCACATTGCCCGTTGGCTGGGGCAGAAAGGCAGTGAGGAGATGATGGGAGTGGTGGAAACCATTGGCAGGGGGTGTGTGAGGGGACACAGAGCTGCCCAACCACTCCCTGCTTGGCATCCACCTGCTATGAAGTAGTAGACGATGGCGTTGGAGCCCTCATCCGCGTCCACTGCTCCAGTGACGTTCCCCACCAAGGTGCCTGGCTCTGAGTGCTCGGGGACGGAGAGCACCTGGTACTGGGGACTGTCCTTCTGCCAGAGACCCCAGGAGAATGGAGGGTCATTGGGGAGGGGGGCTTTAAACATAAGCAGATAAATCCCATCATGCTCCCCACCGTGGTGATGCCCACTGGTGCATGTCCTGTTACACATGCTCGCCAGCATCCACATCTCAGCATCCCCTGTGTCCCACCCACTCCATCCTGGTGCCTTACGGGTGGCCTGAGGAAGATGGGCTCATTGTCATCGATGTCATCGAGTGCGACCTGGAGGGGCTGCATGGTCTCATAGGCTGGCTGGCCCTGGTCACAGGCCACAATGATCAGCTGGGGGGAGAGGCAAAAGGGCCATCCTGAGAAAAGCCACGAGGGCCACGAGACACCACCGAGGCAAGGTCAGAGAGGACAGCTGGGTGGGGGTAGATTTGGCAGGGATTTAACAACGGGGAGCTGTTCCACCAGGATGCAACTCCCTGATGGCACTTGATAACCACCTAGCTCCTGCTAAGGGGCGACATCCTCAGGACTGTATCAGCTGACACCCATCCCCAACCACATCACTTGCATCCCACCAGCCTCGAGGACCACCCCGACCACCCCGCGGGCACGCTGCTGCCTGGCTCACGTTGTACACCGCCTGCTTCTCCCGGTCCAGCCGCATGGCTGTCTGGATCAGCCCGCTGACTGAGTCGATGCTGAAGTACTCCCAGTCTTTGTTCCCCGCCCCGGTCCTCAGCAGGTTGTAGAGCACAGCTCCATTGAGGCCCTCGTCTTTGTCGGTGGCGTAGACCTCATAGACGTTGGACCGTAGGGGGATCTCCTGCTCGCACATGGACAGCCCCTCAGTGCCAGCACTGCACGTGAGCCCCCCCTTCCCCCTGCCCCTCCAAACTCCCTCGTATTAGGGTTGGCAGGCTCCAACCAAGGGCTGGAAACGTGGAGCCATCAGTCCCTTCTGCAGAGTGGCTGCTCCACGCCCATGCCAGCAACTGGCTGAGCTGAGCCCCATTTCCCAGAAAGGAGAAACATCTGAAATGTCAGCATTTCAGCCCTTGTTTATAAACAGGCTTGGCACACGGCCACTGGCTGTTTCCTTATTTTGTGTGCTGCTGGAGTTTCTGTTCCCCAGCACTGCCCCACCATCCCCGCTCACACGTCTGGAGAAGGGGTTGTTGTTGATCTTCCAGCCCCATGACCCAAGCCTTCTTGCTGCCTTTTAAATCAAGGTGTTGTTTCACCCCTGGTGGAGATGGAGATGAGATTTTGCCACTGTTTTACCTCCTTGATGTGCAGGATGGTGCCGTTGGGTGGGCGGACAAAGACAGGGCGGTTGTCATTGATGTCAATGACCTCGATGTGGAGCATGGTGGTCCCCCAGAGAGGGGGACGCCCCTTGTCTGTGGCCACTACGGTCAAGTTGAACCTCTCATAGGACTGCAAGCGCCGCCGGGACTTAATGAGCCCTGAGTCTTTATTGATCTTGAAAGCCTCTGGGGATAGATAGAAAGAAAATGTATCTCTGGCACAGGATGCTTGGCACCAGAAAGATTATAACTGGAAACCAGCTGAAGCTCACCCCTCACTGGTGGGAAATCCCTGTCGAGGGGGGACGGAGCAGAGCTGACTGCCAGTGGCAGGGGTGTGGATGGTCTCAGGGTTTTCTGAGCATTCCTGTCGACTGTCACATTCCTACCACTGGGCAGTACCAACGACCCTGCTCTGAGGCCACCCCTGGCTGTGCTTCACTCCTGCCTAGGCTGGGACAGTGGGCAGTGGTCAGGGGAGCTCACAGGTCTCAGGAAAATGAAAGTTCTGCCATTCCCCTCTATATTTTTGCTGGCTTTTGCCTGGCTCCCACCACTCCTTGGTGTGCAGAGATACATTGGATTTCAGGCACTCACACTATCCACCCACAACCCTTGTTAGCTTTTATCTGAAGTGTGCAGTTAGTTTGCTCTAAGACGCACTTGTGTACACAGTAAGTCCTGCTGGGGTGGGGAGAGAAAAGGAGAAACCCAGGATAAGCTGTGGGACCAAAGCAGGCAAAGCTGTGAAACACTGGCAAAGGTTGCCCAGAGAGGATGTTGATTCCCTATCCCTGGCAATGTCCAAGGTGAGGTTGGATAAGGCTCTAAGCAACCTGCTCTAGTTGAAGCTGTCCCTGCTCACTGCAGGGGGCTTGGACTAGATGACCTTTAAAGGTTCCTCTGATCCACACCAATTCTATAACTCTATGATTCCTTGTAACATACCACACCACAAGGAACTGGGAACTGTTGAGCAATACTGAAAGCTCCATGCTTTCGGTACTGCTCCCAGGAGCGTGTGAAAAACCTTGCTCCAAACCAGCTTTAAGACATAGGATGTAGGCTTGGCCCCTACATGTCCTCCAAATGCTCTCCTCCCTGAGGAGGAGCCCTCCAGTGTTTGTACCTACCTGCTCCAGGGCCCTCAATGCTATATGTCACCACACCGTTATCCCCTTCGTCCAGGTCGGTGGCAGTCATGGTGATGACTGATGTCCCTGCTGGCTCATTCTCATACACACTGGTGCTGAATTGACTCTTGCTGAACTGGGGCCTGAAGTCGTTGATGTCCAGGACTGTGATCAACACCTTCAACAAAGCACAGCTAGCTGGGTGAAGTGAAGCTGAAGATGGCAGGGCAGCCCAGAGGGGCCATACCCCTATTGTGACCCATGGCTCTGCTGCCAGAGCATGGTGCCCTTCCTGCTATTTGTTGAGTTGAATTCCTGCTTCCAACAATGGGGGCCAACATGGCCAGGGCACCCATCAGAGCACTTGCAGACAATAGCATCACCCTCCCTTGCCCCTCCTGCTCTGTCCCCACCCTGTTACTGTGCTGTCCTTGCAGCACACAGTCCCCTGTGCCATCCATCCTGAAGACCCTGGTGTCATATGCTTTTCCTTCTGCCTGATTCCTCCATGAGATACCAGCAAACTCGCTGGGGAGGAAAGCCTGAGGTTTAACACTTTCTTGATGGTGACCACCACGTGAGCGGTGGTGGCACGAGGAGAACCCTACCTGCACGGAGTTCTCACGACGGTTACTGGAGACATCCCCAGGGTTGTCTCTGGCCACAGCTGTCAGTGTGTAGTGATCCTTCTTCTCCCGGTCCAGGGCTGACAGGATGTAGATGTCACCCTGCAGCACACAGAGACCTTCAGGTGGACCTCGTCTGCCAGAGCTGGTACTCAAGAAGGGGCAGAAGGTGAGGTGTGGGAGCAAGTCACAGGGTAGGACCATTTCAGCCGCCCCCCGCCCCTTTCCCCTGTTCTGTTCCAGCCTTGGTTGGCTCCTTACCGTGTTGGGATTTATCCCAAACTTGCCCTCTCCATCCCCCAGGCTGTACTGGATGAGAGCAAAACGTCCAGAATCTGCATCTGTGGCCGTGACCCTCAGGATGACTGTACCCAATGGTACATCCTCAAAGACAGCTTTCTGCAAGCAAAAGGAGCAGGCAAGATTGGTTGTTCCATCACTTGCTGTTTTAGCGGGCAGTAACGAAAGGTGGACACCACCCAGGGGTGGACACAGCTGGACCCAGAACAAGATGTTCACAAAGAGTACATTGGGGGGTTGACCATCTTCTTCATATGGTTCAGGCATAGACAGAGGGAAGAGAAGGTATCCCTGAAGAACCCCCAGCTTTGTTCCCATCCTCACCAGGCAGGCACTGACTAGCCTGACTCAGACTTGGACAGAGAAACTCAGCTCACCTGGTAGGATGGTTGGCTGAAAACAGGATTGTTGTCATTGACATCCACTATCTGGAGGTACACAGGGATCTCAGCAGATCTGCGGGGAGAGCCGTTGTCGGAAGCTCGGACAGTGAAGTTCAGCCACTGCACCTCCTCGTAGTCCACCGTCCTGTTGGCCACGACCTTCCCTAGAGGATGGCAGACCCTGAAATGAGAAACCTGTCCCAGGCCACCAACCTGCCCCAGGACTCCCACCTCCCTAGGCCACCAACCTGCCGACTGGTCTTCAAGGCAGGCATAGCCTTCTGGGGAAAGGGTCAGCAGCTCATAGGTGATCTGCCCGTTGGCACCTTTGTCTGGGTCCACTGCTGAGATGGAGATGAGTGTGGTGCCCTGTGTGGCTCCCTCCAGGATCCTCTCGGTGAAATAGGTGACCCCGAAGGGGCGGAAGCGTGGTGTGTTGTCATTGACATCCAAGACATTGACTGTCAGCTTGGCTGTGGCCGTGGCATAGAGAAGGAAGGAAGAGGACAGGTGAGAAGGAGGAGGGAAGGACGGATGGAAGAAAGGAGGACTGTGAAGATACAAACATGAAACTCCAAGAAAGCCAACTAAATGGAGCTGGTTCATCAAGAAAAATGGGAATAGTCAGCAGAGCTAGCTGCAGGACAGTCTCACCTACATCAGACCTACTCCTGATCTGTATGTGCCTTCTCACACACGGGTCTGGATTTACCAGGAGCAGTGTGACAAAGCATGATAATGAAGAAATGGGTGTCTCCCATGGTACAGTTATGGGCACACGGTCCTCTCATCCTCAGTGAAGCTCTGGGATGTCCAGGCTGTTCACTAAAGAGGACTCAGAGGAGAACCTGAACCTGATGTGAGCTGGTCCAGGACTGCTCCTGCTGGAAATGTTGCTGGTCAGGATGGAGAGGGAGATGAGAAAGCTGCTGGCTACTTCTCTTACTGAGAAGCTGTGCTGGTGGCTCAGAAAGGCTGTTGCAGCTCTGGGCAGTTCCCAGCCCTGGCCCCACACTCCCTGGATAGAGTCCACCCTTACCGTTGGGCACGCTGACTGAGCGGTCGATGACTTCGCTGGCATTGTCGTGGACGGAGATGGTGACCTCGTAGGTGGCCACCAGTTCTCGGTTGAGGGGAGTTTTGATCTTCACAGCTCCTGGGAATCCCAAAGAAGATGGGGGTCACAAGCTGTGCCTGCACTCCTTCCTACTGAGGACCCACAGTAGATGGATTTGCATCAGTTGAGCTGCACCCTCCGCTCTACTTGCTCCCCTGCACTTCCAAAGGGCCAAATGGGGAAAACACTTGATAGCTCGAGGAGAAGACTTCTCCTCCCTCCTGCCTTCCTGCCTGCTCAGCTCTGCCCAGGCTAAAAGGTTCTTAGTCAGAGCTAAGGGTTTGGGCTGTGTGGACAAGAGGGGTTTGAGAGCAACTGCTGCTGCTCTCCTACTTGACCCCCATCCACCTTAGCTCAGCATCTGGGTGTCTTCAAGAGTCTTGTCCTCTATCCTTTCCAATAAGGGTGTTTTTCTTTCCCAGATCTCCTCTGTGCTTCCAAAACAGATGTATGGAGCTCCTGGCCCTCCTTACCTGAGGGTAGAGCTCACCACCTACCCCAGAGTCCCCCACCCTGCTCCCTGAAGTGAGGATGCCCACATCCAGTCTGCCAAGGCTGAGCAGCACCCGGCCCACAGTGGAGCCACCTGTGATGGAAATGGGTGAGATGGAGGGAGGAGACAGATGGCACGGGGAGCGAAACGAGCACAGACACAGAGACAAACCTGCTGGGCTGAGAGCCAGAAAGGAAAGAAAAGGGTTAATTAAGTCAGTTGGCCAGGGCAGAAAGGACAAGGAAGGGTGAGATGGGGCAACTGGAGGAGGAAAGCGGGAAGGCAGGAGGGGAACATCATCTCCCCAAGCCTCGGACACCTACCTCCAGGCAGAGAAGAAGAAGAAGAAGCAGAAGAGAGTAGAAGGGTCTGTGCCGCCTGTGCGACCCTTCCCACTCTCCTACCTGTCCTAAAATCCACCGTGAATGCTCCTTGCTGGTCAGGCACCAGCGCGTCCGTGTCGTCACGGGCCACGATCTCCAGCAGGTAGTACTCCAGGCGAGGGTTGAGGTCCCGGTCGATGGCGGTCACCTCAGCCACCACGGTGCCGGGCGCCGCAGACTCAGGGACGCTGACTGTCTGGATGGGGTTGATGAACTCGGGCCGGCAGTCATTGACATCATCGATGAAGAGGCTGACGGTGGCGGTGCCCGAGAGCGCCGGTGTGCCCTGATCCACGGCCACCACCGTCAGCACCCGGTCGATGCTGAGGTTGGCCACGCGGATCACCCCCGTGGCAGCATCAATCAGGAACCTGTCCTGGCCGCCGCTCTCGATCCGGTAATCCAGCTGCTGGTTGAGGCCGCTGTCGGCATCCGTGGCTGTCACCTGGAGGATGAAGAAGCCTGGAAAGGGGGGACACAGCCCTCTCAAGCGAGGGTTGGAGGGCAGCAGCAACGAGCTCCTGGTCCTGAGGCAAATGCCATCAAGCAATGTGGGCAGCCCCGATTCCCAAATTGGCCCTTCAACCCCATCCTGGCCAGCCTTGGATGTCCTTCACAGTCCCAGGGGGACCCTCTGGTGTACCCATTGCCCATCCTGGTCTCTGGTCCCGGCCCTCTTCTGACCTGGGGGGCTGTTTTCCTGCAGCCGTGCTGTGACAGATGCTGGTTGGAAGATGGGGCAGTTGTCATTGTCATCCAGGATGGTCACCACCAGGCTGGCAGTGCTGTTCAGTCCCCCTACATCACGAGCCACCAGCATGAACTCCAGGTGATGGTCCAGCAAAGCCTCTCGATCTATCATGCTGCCGGGCTTCACCGAAACAACACCTGGAGAAGGGAAAAAGCTGGTAACTGACCCCATGGATGCCTGGTGGCCCTGGGCTGGGGACCTGCTGAGCCACCCTACCTGTCCTATTGTTGATAATAAAGAAGTCCAGGGATGATTTCAGCAGCTGGTAGGTCACCACGGCATTGCTGCCCTGGTCACTGTCCAGAGCTAGGATGGGTCCATTGAGCACTGTGACCAGAGTCCCTGGATGGAATGATAAGGGTTAGGGAGGGTGGCAGCCCCTTCAGAGCCCCTCCATCCCACTCCCACCCTGGTGAATGCATGAGGGACAGCAATGGGTGGATGGAGGAGGTGACAGAGAGGGGCACGGTGGGGCATGAGGCAGCGGGGGGCAGCTGCTGCAGCCTTGCAGATCGACTCGTGGGGCCCAGGTGAGGTGCTTGGGACGTCCAGCTAAAAACAAACAGACACATCTGTCAGATGGGCGCCACCAGCATCCTGCTGCCAAGGGCAGCACCTGGAGGCACCCAAACCCTTCACCTGGGATGTCCTCACATGGTGAGACAGGGTCACCTGAGTTACCTGAGGTCTTGGAGCAGGGAGCAATTTAATGGCAGAAAGGCAAAGAAAAAACAAAACCCAGGAGACTATTTCTACCTCTTTGGCTAATAATTGTCTACCTGGCCAGTCTAGACTGTTTTTTCTTTAACTTCTGGAGCAAGATTGCTTCAGGTGCTGGTGATGGAGAGACTCTATCCCCTGTAGGGATGTTAGGCAAGTTGGTGCACTTAAGGCTGTCCCCCAGACCTGGCTCATACCATGGGCACCTCTTGCTATCTGCAGTTGATAAATGGGGCTGATTTCTTGCAGGGTTCTGCCTGACTTGTATCAGGAAGGGTTTCCATCAGCAACATGGACCAAAGCTATGCTCTCTTAGAGGCTGAGTTCCCCAGGTAGTTGGCAGGAGCTGCTCATACTCAGTATCCCTGTCCCACTGACCTGCAGCCTTTCCCTGCTCAGTGGCGTCTCCTCCACAACAACCAGGAGACACCTCCCCTCGCCTGGCCCCAAAGACAGACTCCAGAAGCCATGAAAGGGAGCAAAGAGAGACCTACCTGGGGGTGAGTTCTCCATCACCTCAGCCAGGTAGGAGCTCTGGGTGAAGAGCGGGCGGTTATCATTCTCATCCGCTATGGAAATGACCAGCAGGTCAAAATCCTAAAGGAAAATGGGGACAAGAGGGTGATGACCGCAATGTCCTTTCTTTGATCTCACCTCCCGCCTCTCCTACCTCCAGCTTGGTGCTGGTCAAAGGTGGAGCCCTGTGCAACCACGATGCTTTTCTCCCCAGACCATCTTGGAGGGTCTGCATGGACTTTCACCCTGGTGCTGGGCGTCCCTTCCCAGCCTACACTCTGAAAGGTGATATGTGGGACATCTTTGCAGGCCCAAAGGATGCTCCAGTGTCTTTGTGGTCGCCTAGCTCTCCAGCTCAACTTTGCTCCACCTTCCGTGACCATTACTGCTGTTGCATGGAGTCAACATGTGATGCTGGACTTGCCCTAAATCCTATTGGGCCTGTTCTCTGCTGGGAAAGGGGGTTGCAACCGCTACTTTGTCACCCCTAGATCCTTTTGGGGGACGAGACTGCTATTGGAACTGCTGTGGGTGAATGCACTGCCTGGTTTTGGCCACTACAGGAACCCCTTCTCCATGATCCCTGCTGCCTGAGTCGCTGGAGGCCCCGGCAGTGTCCGTAATTACCCGCCTGGCATTGCGTATGTTCTCGGGGTTGTCCTTCACCGTGATGGTCAGCCTGTACTCTGCCACCCGCTCCCTGTCCAGTGGGCGGTTTACATAGATGACTCCGCTCTACCAAGAAAATCAACAGGGGGAAAAGAGGTACAAGGGATGTGAGATGCGCTTCCCACGCCATGCCTCCTGCCAGGGCAAGGTTGCCAGACAGCACCCATGGATGCCCAGGCAAGGTAGGGCTCCAAGGTTAGGGGTGCCCACCCTCTGCATCCCAGCATCCCACCCCCCGGGGGCGTACGGTGCTGTTGATGTAGAAGGTGTTCTCCGTGTTGCCTGCAGTTATGTCAAATGTCAGGAGGGCGTTTGGCCCCTTGTCCGCGTCCCGGGCGAGGATGCGGGTGACGAAGCTGGAGACAGGGGCATTCTCGCTGAGAGTGAGGTTCATTGGGAGGTTGAGGAGCACAGGGTCATTGTCGTTGATGTCCAGCACGCGGACGCCCACCAGGATCTGCCAGGGAGAGAAGAGGTAAGGACACGTGACACCTGTTTCCATCCCTCCCATCCTTTTTTTGCCACCTTGGGCAAGCGGTGGGTTTCCCCACTCCAGCCAATACAGTCTGGAGAAGGAAAGCCCCAGGGACAAGGGGAAGGAGGAAGATGGGAGAAGACTGAAGGCAGACACCGGGATGAAGATGTGGGCTGCACCCTGCAGCTGCCCGGAGTAGCCTGAGGGACTCACCGTGGAGCTGAGGGGTGGCACCCCCCGGTCCCGCGCAGCAATGGTGAGGTTGTAGAAGGGGATGTTCTCGCGGTCCAGCTCAGCGTCCTTCCGCACCCGCAGCTCCCCTTCCACTGGGGAGATAACAAACTCCCCTGCCAGAGACAGCGGGGCCCTGGCTCGTGCTGTGCTGCTCCCAGTGGCCCAGCTCCCAGGGGAGAGGCTTGTTTCGGAGCTGGGGCACAGGCACCATGATGGGGTTGGGGACAAAACTGTCCCCTGTTACTGTAGATATGGGAGGACTGTGCGGCTGGGGACTGGATGCATCCCCAGGTACAAGCAGGAGCAGGGCATGGGTTGAATGGCCATATAAGAGGTGCCCATGCCCCTTGGCCAGGCCCTTCTGAAGATGCCAACTGCCCTCCAAACACCCATGCCCTGTGATGGTCAGAGCAAGGTGGGCTGCACAGCACTGACCCCCACAAACCAAGGAGCTACATCCTGATTGTTCTGGAGAAGCTTTGGAGCAGGATCAGCTGGGAGATAGAACTGGGCTCTGCCTTCCAGATACCATGGGCTAAAGTCACCACCCATTGACAAAGGGACACCCTATGTCCCCGTGGTTCAGGAAGCCCATGGCTCCTCTGCCACCTGCTCCGAGGTGCTGGTGGGACTGGAACTACAGCTTTGTCATGGGTTGCAGAGCAACTCAGTCCCCAACCACACTGCAAACCCCACGGGAGTGAGGGGAAGGGGTTGTGAGCTTGCAGCTCTCAGTTTCTCTTTCTGCGGTCTGTTTTTTTTTTGCCTTTATTGTTTAGCACATTTCCCTCCCTTGCACAACCCCCAACCACCCCCTGGCCGGCAACAAACAGGTTAAGTTTCCTGTTTCTCAAAACAGGATTTCCTGGTGTCGAAAGGCTGAATTCGCAGAAGCGCTGGGAGGGGGGCTGGCTTTTCTGAAACGCTTCCGCCCCACTCCTTCCCAAGCCAGGTTCCTCCGTGGGGCAGCCAGAAGGAATCACAAAATCAGAGAAAGGTTTGGGTCAGAAAGGACTTTTCAAGGTCATCTAGTCCAGCCCCCCTACAGTGAGCAAGGAGAGCTTCAACTAGCGCAGGTTGTTCAGAGCTCCAGCCAGCCACACCTGAAATGGTTCCAGGGATTGACCACCTCTCTGGGCAACCTCGGCCAGGGTTTCACCACCCTCATGGTAAAAATTTATTCCTTCTATCTAATCTAACTCTGCTCCTTCCTCTATCCCTGTGGTGATGCCCCCAGGTCCCTGCTCACCAAGAGGGTCCCCAGCGATGATGCTGTACTCCACTTGCCCGCTGGGTCCTGAGTCACCATCATGGGCCAGGAAGGTCCAGACACGTGGGCCAGGCTGCCCTTCCGTGACGTCAAAGGGACCCTCATAGGGCCGTGGAAAGGTGGGACGGTTGTCATTGATGTCGTTGAGGTTCACCAGCACCTGCGGTCAGGTTGAGAGGGTGGAGGGCAGCGAGACAAGAGGGGTAGAACAGGAGACCAGCCTGCTAGCCATTGACAGGTGACATCACAAAATACCTCCTGTATTTCTGGCTTTGCTGGGTTCACTGAACATCCAGCTCCCAGTTCGGACACTCAAACTCAGTTATTTCTGATCATGCTCATCCCACAGTGACACTATGAAACTCCAGCCACATACAGGTGGGCCCTTTTTCAACCTCTGGGCCACACACCATGATGGAGAAATCAATGCAAAGGCCAAATGTTTTCCACGTTCACATCGTGAAACCCAAGCTGGATAGACCAAAACCACAGACATGGACGTGACTAACAAAACCATGAGTCTGATCTCTGCAGCCAGCTGCACACTTGCACAATCCTTCTTGTCCACCAAGGGTTTTCTTCCTAATGATAAGCAGACTTTAAAATATTTGCAGCTTGCATCTGTATTCCAAAACAAAACACCACCAATGCCATTGGCACGTTTCCCCTTTTAGCATCCCTTCCTATGACACACATAGCTGGCTAGAAATCAATTCTACAGAGCTCAAAAGGGGAAAAAACAGTTTTAGGATAGAGTAGACCATGGGGTTGCCATTGAATCCAAAAAACCTGAGTCTTGCTTTTAAAATGAGTCCCATCACATAAAAGACATTTATTTAGCTCTATATAAAACTATGTTGCAAAGAAGATTATCCCCTTTGCTAGGCTTCAGGGAACTTGCATGATGGAGAAACTCTCCCTGAGGAAGAGAGTCTGCAGTGGCTAATAAAAGGCTGAGCTGTATAGGTGTGTATAGGCATGTATAGGTGGTTATGAGAAGGATATTGAAAATAATGAGTCTGTGTAAGAGTCTGCTCCATTTTCTAGCAGTGGGGAAAACAAACACTGGCATGCCTTACCAGGGTGATGGATTTTCCTTCACTCGGGATCTTAAATAATCACTAACCTCCTCCTAAAAGCTATGTTTTCATATGATGCTGGCAGAAACTTCCTGGGCTGAGTAGAGAGGGCGTTGCCTATCCCTATCCCTTCCAGCTTTTTTTTGCTGAAGGGGTTTCCAAGTGCATGTCTCTGCTTGGGCCAAGAGCAGGGAAAGCTGTGCTTTTGCCTGCAGCACGCCAGCAGCTGCCCCCTTCCCTGCTGGCAGTTAAACTCCAGGTCTCAAGGATTCTGCTGCTCTTTTCCTGATGCAGGAAGGCATCTCCACTGGTGTGAGAGGCACGCATCTAAAGGCTTCCCATCTGCCCAAGCATGGAGCCTGTTAGCATTGCCAGGCTAACAGGGACAGATTTTGTCCATGGAAGTCTCCCATACTGGTATTTCCCCTTCAGTCTCTCTTTTTTTTTTTTTTCTTTGCATACAAAAACTTATTTCCTTTTGGAGGACTACAAATGCTTGGCTCAATATCTGAGTCCATTATATGGAGTCAAGGCAGAAGATCTAACTGATCTCTTCCACCTGCAGGTCCCAAAATCAGCCTGGGCATGGACAGTGTCTGCTGTACAACATGCCAAATTTTGGTTTTGGTCATGAAAATAATCAGTGTATTCAATTCTTCTGAAACATTTACTACAGAGTTGCTAGGCTTCCTCCCTCACACTTTGAGCAGTGCACTAAGTTCAGGTCGCTGCGGTCCAGGAGAAATGGAAGAGCTACAGAGAGAAGTCACAAAAATGACTAGAGGCTTTAAATAACCTCCATATAAGGAACAAATAAGAAATTTTAAAAGCATATAAATGATCTGAGAAGATAAAGATGAAACAGAAATTAATGCTTTAGCAACGCTTTACTATCTGTTCTCCCTTCAGGCAAGAAGAATCAAGGGGACCTCTAAAGACAATGCAGTGCAACTTAAAAGCAGTTCCGGGAATTTCTTCGTTTGTGTCTTTGCAGGACCAAATAATTGGGTTAATGAACCCACAAATGTCCCTTGCCCACGTCCCTGTTTTGCAACCCCCGTGACGGAGTAGGGCGACAGCATCTAGACAAACTGGGAAAAAGCAATGGGTGACCACTGGGAAGGAGATGTGAAACCACTCATGTGAGGGGGAACTCCTCGACCCCAAAGAGGCCACGGTGTTGCAACCCTGCTGGCAGCTCCCTACCGTGGCAGTCGACGCCAGCCGGCGTGAGACGATGGGGCACTGGTCGGTGGCGGTGATGATCAACGTGTAGCGCCCGTGGCTGATCTCATAGTCCAGCTCCTTCACCGTGCGGATCTGCCCCTGCGAGGAGAGGGGAGAGCGGCCAGGAGTGAAGGGAGCAGGACATGGACACGTCTGGGATGGGGCTGGTGTCCTTACTGACCGTGGTGCTGTTGATATGGAAGGTACCCAAGATGTTGCCTTCGGTGATGGCGTACGCAACTGTGCCGTTGGGTCCCTCGTCCTGGTCCAGGGCCTGCACGGTGACGAGGGTGGCGTTGAGTGTGGCGGGACCTTCATCAAGGGTCACCTCGTAGAGCTGCTGCTGGAAAGCGGGAGCGTTGTCGTTCTCATCCAGGACGGTGACATACACGGTGGTGGTGGCCTGTGGGACATGGGGACATCAGGTTAAGTACCATAGACGTACTCGACTCCACAACCTATGGAGCTGCCTGGGGAAGGCTGGACCTGTCAAGGTCAATGACCAATGTGGGCTCAACCCTGCCAAGAGAGACAAACAGGATGCAAGGCTCAAAATGAAATGAGCCATGGCTGCAGGTGCATCTCCATGTAATGGTTTGATACAGAGATAAACATACAGAGGTGAAATCACACCTTTGTTCACAAGCAAAGCACATTTCTATGGGATCCTTCTCCTTTTCAAACAGCTTTTACCATTCCTGGTAGAAGTGGGAAGCAGCCTGTGGCAGAGGGAAAGACAGAGGCTTAAACCCATCATGCATTGCTGCCTTTGGAGGAGGCATGTGCAAGTCCTCACCTTGACATTTGGAACACCTTGGTTGTTATAACTGAGGGTGACAACGTGGCAGGGTGGAAAATATCTGGAGATGATGCTGCCATAGCTCAGGGGAAGAACAAAAATGAGCATCTTGGACAACTGGGATGACCTCCTGCAGGTCCCATCATCTACCTGCTGACCACAATTTCCACACCGGTCAGGCTCAGCCTGTCCTGTCCCTCTTCCAGCTGTATCTGGCCCTGTGCAGGCACTTGGATGTCCTTACTGAAGGCTGTCTTCCAGGCATGTCACTGTGGGGACACACCTGGGGATGGGGAGATGACAAGAATGTTCCATCCTGCCTAAGGGCTCAGTTCAGAGATGGGGTCTCTGGATGAGAAACCATTTTCTTGGAGCCTCTGGACTTTGTGCCTGCACCTTCCCACAGCAACAAACTTCTTCTGGCCAGACAAGGGTTACATTTTTTGATGAAAGCATCGCGGACGTGTTTGCTGTACTAACCACAAAGCCACACAGTAATTAGCTACTTTTCTATTTCACTGCACGCTCCAAATTCAAGCAGGTTAGCAGTGAGGTTTCCTGTGGTTTTCAAACCTCCACGTGTCTCCAGGCATCACTTTCCAGGGAACAACGGTATTCCCTGGGTGTTCCTGGGAACAACGGTGAAGTGAGGTGACTCTCAACTGCAGCTGGAGATTTTTGTGATAGCTTTTGAATTCAAAGGAGTTATGTCAGTCAGCCCACGGTGTTGCTTTGCTGTTTGAGGGCAGAGTAAAGGCATTTAAACAGGGTAAACAGGATGCTTTTCTTCCACTTTTTTTTTCCTGGGGAAAGCATTCCTTTCCTTGAACTGGCACCACTCTGAGTTACCCTTCCCTGGACCTTCCTCCCATTCATCCCAGGGGGCTTTCTGTCCACCTGATCCTCATGGGAAAAACAATAATTCCAAGCAAAGTGTGTTTTAATGAAGCAAGCTGAAGATTGACCCCAAGGGATTGGCTCCTGCCAGGGAAGGGATGGGGATCAGCACCCAACCCCTCACAGCTCAGCACCCACATCCCTGTCACAGCGAGCATCCTCCTGCGCACCCCGAAAACACACACAGAGGGACCAGTTTGCTCTAAGCTCCTCCTGGGGATGCTCTAAGGAAAAAAACCCCAGCAGATGTACCCCAAAGGGGTGGGGACTGAAGCGTCGCTCATCCGCGGGGTGCCTGGTGGGGTGCTGCAGCTCCCTTCACAGCTCCCTGGCAGCATCTCACCTCCTGGGGGTGCTCGCAGTTCTCTCCAGCTCAAGAACATCTCAATGAAATTTCCTGTGTGTGCCGAGTCCGGCTGCCGCTGCTTGCGGGGCTGCTCAGAGCGTGCGGGTGGCTCGGCCGAGGTG